ATATATATATATATATATATATATATATATATATATATATATATATATATATATATAAATAAAATACTAGCAAAAATGCACCCCCACCCCACCATTACACATTCATCACACATTTCAAGGAAAACAGGTCAACAAGAGGTAGCTTTTTAGGAAGAGGAAATAAGATACATTTAGGAAGAGAAAGGCGAGAAAAAAACCCCTCTCACTTTGTCCTTGAATTAGGGCAGTGTGGGATCAGGGGGAAAAAAGCCCCAGCAACCAAGCACATAAACACGTAGACATTACATTGCAACAGTGGATGGGAACAGGGCATGTGGATATAGACCAGTATTTTTAGTGCATGAGGATTTGATAACTATTTATTATTATATTATTAGATATAAAATATTATGGTAACACTTTACAATAAGATTCATTAGTTAATGCATTTACTAACATGAACTAATCATGAACAACACATGTACAGCATTTATTAATCATTATTGAACATTTACTAATGCATTATTAACATCCAAGTCCATGCTTGTGAACATTAGTTAATGCACCTTGAGTTAACATGAACTAACAATGAACTACTGTATTTTCATTAACTAACATTAACTAACATGAACAAATACTGTAGTAGATGTATAGTTCATTGTTTGTTCATGTTAGTAAATGCATTAATTAACATTAACTAATGAACCTTATTGTAAAGTGTGACCAATATTATAATATTTGTATATCTATTATATAAATTTTATTTATATATAAAACAGCAGCATTACTATTGAAATAGTTTTAATAAAACATTTTTTTTCAATAGATGTAACATTTATCACATAAATTGCAATAAATGTAAAATATATTCTGTTACGCATGTAAAATAATCAATGATTTGTTTGCATTGTTTTTAGACCTTTTTTTCTCAAGCTTCAAGTGTCTGCAATATCAGTTCAAATAAACACTTGCCGCAAGATCCCATCTTCTTAACAAGGTCCAGTTGTAACTTAACGCACTAAAATTAATTGTTAATAAATGCGTTAATTTCGTTTTGCAATGTTTCTAGAATGTGTGGTGTGATGTTGATATTAAGCTGACAGTGCCGTCGCTCTTATTTGAGCTCTGTGCATGCGGATTGGCGAGTGTGTGTATCTCACAGATGTTTGACTCAGATCTGTGTGTTCCTCAGCTGGAGTGGTGAATGATGGAGGGGTGAGCTGGCTCCGAAAGTCCTATCAGAGGATGAAGGAGCAGGCGGACAGAGAGCAGCGCAGTCTGGATAGTGTGGTGGCCGAGAGATATGGGGTGAGCACACACTCGCACACACTCACACATTATTTATGTATGCTATATATTTATGCATTAATTTTCCTTCGGCTTAGTGCTTTATTTATCAGGGGTTGCTACAGCCAAATGAACCGCCAACTATTCCGGCATATGTTTTACACAGCGGATGCCCTTCCAGCTGCAACCTAACACTGGGAAACACCCATACACTTCTGCATTCACACACATACACTACGGCCAATTTAGCTTGTTCAGTTCACCTATACCACATGTCTTTTGGACTGTGGGGGAAACCGGAGCACCTGGAGGAAACCCACACAAACACAGGGAGAACATGCAAACTCCACACAGAGATGGCAACTGACCTAGCCAGGGCTCGAACCAGCGACCTTCTCGCTGTGAGGCGTAATTAAATCTGTGTTTGTTATTTTCCTCATGCAGTCAATGGAGGAGTTCCAGAAGAGACTAAAAGAGGCAGAAGATGCTGCGTATGGAGAGAGGAGAGATGATGAGAAGGAGAGAGGGAGGAGAGAAGAAGGGAAGGAGAGCTGGAGGAGAAACGACAGAGAAGAAGGGAGAGAACGATGGAGGAGAGATGAAGAAAAGGACAGATGGAGAAGAAACGACAGAGACGAAGGGAGAGAAAGGTGGAGGAGAGAGGATGGAGATGAAGAAAAGGAGAGATGGAGAAAAGACGGATGGAGGAGAGGAGAAAATGAGGACAGACGGAGAGAAAGATCTCCAAATGCTGAGAGAGAGAGAGCGAGATCTCGTGATGACCTGTCCAGCAAGTTTCTCAAACCCTCAGAAGATGAAGAAGTGAGCCGAGGGGCGGGGTTTAAGAAAGGCTCTTCGTCCAATCAGAGTGCAGCATTCAGAAAGCCTGTCGATGATGTTGAAATGAGCAGAGAGGCTGGATTTAAGAAAGGCTCATCATCCAATCAGAACGCAGCATTCAGAAAGCCTGTTGATGATGAAATGAGCAGAGGGACAGCGTTTAAGAAAGGCTCTTCATCCAATCAGAGTGCAGCGTTCAGAAAGCCTGTTGATGGAGATCATGATGATGATGAAATGAGCAGAGGGGCGGAGTTTAGGAAAAGCTCTTCATCCAATCAGAGTGCTGCATTCAGAAAGCCTATCGATAATAATAATGACGGTAGAGGTGTTGCAGCTGCCTGGAGGAAGAGCAGCGCTGTTCAGGATTCAGAGACGCCGACCCTGCAGAAACACACAGAGAAGAGCGCCGCCCTGCAGGAGGACAGCAAAACAACTACAACAGTGAGCAGGTCAGTTTAATGCGACGTTTCACTTGTTTGAGATTTTAGTACTTGTATACATATATGTTTATATCTGTGTGTGTGTATTTTGAAGTGTTTGCAATTCATTGTTATTGAATTTAACTCCTTTTTTATTCATATTCAGTAATTATTAATGATTCAATGAAAGGTCTCAGTGAAGTCGTATGGATTGTTTCAAGTCATTATTTAACACTTTAATTTTGTAAATGTTTCTTACATCAAAACTCATTGGGGTTTGTTAATCTTTCAGTTCAGAGAGTGAGGAGGAGGAAGAGGAAGAGCTGATCCTGACAGACGAGGAGATGAATAAATTGGGAGCCAAAATTGTCAAGGCAGAAATCATGGGAAACACGGTGAGCATCAAATCTTGTCTGAAAATATTGGGAACAGCCTACTTAGACATCAAGTGCTGACCAACGCCTCATTCACACTGTGGCTCTGGGTGGCGTTTGAAACCGTTAGTGGGCGTTCCCTCCTGGATTTAGCTTAGGCAAGGTTTATGGTGATATTCACAGACAGCGAATAAATCTACGTGCCGCTGAAAGTGAGCATTGTTTGTAGAAAACACTAAAAATAAATTGAATCAGTGCATAAAATACTTAAAAGTACTTACAAAGATAATTTAGAAAAAGTTTGATTTATCATTACAGTTATTTATCTTCTGCAAACGCGGGTCTGTGTATGTTTACAGCACAAAAGTCGCTCTTCATTTGCATGACGTTGAAGGATTTTTAACTTTGTCGCGTCTCTCGACATGCGCACCTTGTCGCTGTCAAAGATCGCTGTCGCTTGCATATATGGAGG